TACTGAGGAGGCTGAGGCAGGAGAACTCCTTGAACCTGGGAAGCAGAGGTTGCAGTGAGCCAAGGCTGTGCCATTGCACTCCAGCCTGGGTAACAGAGTGAGGCTCTGCCTTAAAAAAATAAAAAATAAATAAAAATAAAAAAACTCAATAAATTCAAAGAAGACAGAAAAAGAGGTAAAGAGGAACAAATACGAGATGGGTAAAAAGGAGCCAAAAAGCAAGACGGTGTATTTAAACTCAGTTGTATAAATAATCACAATAAATGTCAGTGGTCTAGACATCCAAATTAAAAAGCAGATATTGTCAGATTGAATAAAAACAAAATCCAACTATATACTTTCTACAAAAACACTCTCTCTTTTCTTTCTCTCTCTCTCTCTCTCATCTCTTTCTTTCTTTTTGAGTCAGAGTCTCACTCTGTCACCCAGGCTGGAGTGCAATGCAATGATCTTGGCTCACTGCAACCTCCACCTCCTGGGTTCAAGAAATTCTTCTGTCTCAGCCTCCCAAGTAGCTGGGACTACAGATGCCCGCTACCACACCTGGCTGATTTTTGTATTTTCAGTAGAGACAGGGTTTCACCATGTTGGCCATGCTGGTCTTGAACTCCTGACCTTGTGATCTGCCTGCTTCAGCCTCCCTAAGTGCTGGGATTACATGCATGAGCCACTGCACCAGGCAAAAACCCACTTTAAATATAAAGGTACAAACAGGTTAAAGAAAAAGGAGAGAAAAGATATATCATGTGCTAACACTAACCAAAAGAAAGTGACATTCAGTCAAAATATAAAAATCATGTGCTTTTCTCTATACTAGCAATGAGGAGTTAGAAAATAAAAATTTGAAAAATATGTGTCATTTATGATAGCATAAAAAATAAAAAGTTAGGAATAATTCTTTTTTTGAGACGGAGTTTCGCTCTTGTTACCCAGGCTGGAGTGCAATGGCGCAATCTCGGCTCACTGCAACCTCCGCCTCCTGGGTTCAGGCAATTCTCCTGCCTCAGCCTCCTGAGTAGCTGGGATTACAGGCACGCACCACCATGCCCAGCTAATTTTTAGTATTTTTAGTAGAGACGGGGTTTCACCATGTTGACCAGGATGGTCTCGATCTCTTGACCTTGTGATCCACCTGCCTCGGCCTCCCAAAGTGCTGGGATTACAGGCTTGAGCCACTGCGCCCGGCCAAAAAAGTTAGGAATAATTCTAAGGAAACATGTATGAAATCTTTACTCAGAAGACTATGAAAGGTTATTGACAAAAATTAAAGATGACTCAAATAAGTGGAGTGACATGCAGTTTACAAGGATTAGATAATATCATAAAACGTTGATTCTCAAATGACCTATAATTTATAATTTAAAGCCATCTCAATCAAAATCCCAAACTGACTTTTGGAACTTCACAATTCTGAATTGTATTTGGAAATGCTAAAGGCCAAAGGATAAAAAACAGTGACAGAAGACTTGGTCTACCAGATTTCAGGCTATAACAATCAAGACAGTATAGTATTAGCACAATGAACTAAAACACAGTCCAGTTATAGACGCAAATATATGTAGACAACTTATTTATGAGAAAGGTACTAAAATGAAGGCAAAGAACTATCTTTCCAAGAAATGGTACTTGGATGTATAGATAAACACAAAGGAAAAGAATAAACTACGACCCCATATACAAAAATAAATTCCAGGTAGGTTGTAGATCCAAATGCAAAAAGTGAAACTATAGGCCAGGCAAGGTGACTTGTGCCTGTAATCCCAGCACTCTGGGAGGCCAAGGCAGGCGGATCACTTGAGGTCAGGAGTTCAAGCCTAGCCTGGCCAACATGGTGAAATCTCATCTCTAATAAAAATACAAAATTAGCCAGGTGTGGTGGTGTGTGCCTGCAATCCCAGCTACATGGGAGGCTGAGGCAGAAGAATCACTTGAACCTGGAGGCAGAGGTTGCAGTGAGCCAAGATCACGCCACTGCACTCCAGCCTGGGCTAAAAGAGTAAAACTCCATCTCAAAAAAATACAAAAAAGGGCCAGGCGCAGTGGCTCATGCCTGTAATCCCAGCACTTTGGGAGGCCAAGGTGGGCAGATTGCCTGAGGTCAGGAGTTTGAGACCAGTCTGGCCAACATGGTGAAACCCCCATCTCTTTTAAAAATATAAACAAATTAAATGGGCCTGGTGGTGTGCACCTGTCATCCCAGCAGCTCAGGAGGCTGAGGCAGGGGAATTGCTTGAACCAGGAAGGTGGAGACTGCAGTGAGCTGAGATCACACCACTGCACTCCAGCCTGGGTGACAGAGTGAGACTCTGTCTCAAAAAAAAAAAAAAAAAAAAAAAAAAAAAAAAAAAAAAAAAAAAAAGATGAACCTCTCAGTCATAAACACAGTACTAGGGGAAGGCATAAAAGAGAAAGGGATTCTAATGAAGAAAAGGGAAGAGAGGAGGCATGCTATCGGGGAAAGTAGCATGAGAGGGGGCATTTCAACTACACCCTGCAGATGGGAAGCATTTCAATAGGTAGAGGGTAAGAAGGAAGCATTTTGGGAGGGAGGACTGCATAAACCAAAGCCAGTTCTTCAAAGAGAAATGAAAGTGGATTATAAGTTTATAAAGTAGCAACCAGTGAGTGGTCTGCATGCCTACAGATAAGATTTGCAAGAGTGACAGGAGAAGAGTGAGAAATTAGTCTGGAATGTTAGCTTGACGCAAATTGTTGATGACTTGAGACACTGGTCTTTATCCTATGGGTATTAAGTAGCTACTGTAAATTATTCAGATGGGGGAAAAAGATTGGATTTACTTAGTCTTCCCAACTTTCTTTTTTGAAGAACTGTACTCTTTCCTAAGCAGAATGAAGCTTGGATTAGGGACTAAGACAGGGGAGGGAGACTATGGGCAGAGAGAGCCTTTAGAAAACTGTAACATCTGTGGATGATAAGGAGAACCTAAACTATGATTCATTCTATCTTCCCCTGGAACATTTCATTTACAGGGTTAATCTTACTCTTTCATCATTGTTGATCAACTCTGACATGTTAAATTTAATGCAAAGAGGACTTCAGGTTAGCAAAAGAAGAATAAAGGTCTGTTACATACATCAAAGGATTAAAAAGTATCATTTGATCTTAAAATAGAATTGTTTTGAGCTTTGGGAAATTAGGACATTCAAAAGCAGTTGTGTGTATGGGGGGATATGGAAAGTCACAATATGCCTCGGAAAGATACACACTCAGAAACATCCTGAGAAGACCTTAGGCTTTCACCTACAGCTGATCCCTAGCTCAGAGCAAGCCTCCTTAAGTGGGAAAACAATGGCCCAGCACAGAGCCTATCTGAAAAGACCGGGAGAGGTGGGTTGCGTTCTCTCCCTCTCTCTCACCCTCCCTCCCTCCTTCCCTCCCTCCCTCTGTCTCTGCCTCCCCACACCACCCCCAGCTTTGTAGGGGAGTAGAGGGTATTTGTTTTCAGCTCCTGGAATTCAAGGAAATCTCTGTCAAACGTTAGCTGAACATGAGCTAATAGAATGAACACTTCAATAATCACACACGATATGGAATAGTCTTTGCAAAAACAGTTTGGAAAAGTCTCAAAACAAAATGACTGCTACAGCCTTCAACAGTAAAACAAGATAGCAAATCCTAGGAAAGAAGGAGTTGAAGATTTCCAGAGTTATCACATTATGATAAAAGTGAAACGTTCAATTTTCAACAACAAATAAACAAGGAATACAAGGAAACAAACAAACAAAAAATGCTCCCTCAAACGAACAGGATGAGTTGACAGAAACTATCCTTGAGAAACCACAGACATCAGACTTACTGGGGAAAGACTTTAACATGATTGTTTTAAATACACTCCAAGAGCCAAGAGAAAAACACGGACAAAGTACTAAAGAAAATCAAGAGCCGGGCGCGGGGGCTCACGCCTGTAATCCCAGCACTTTGGGAGGCCAAGGCGGGCAGATCACGAGGTCAACATGTCAAAACCATCCTGGCTAACGTGGTAAAACCCCATCTCTACTAAAAAATACAAAAATTAGCTGGGCATGGTGGTGCACACCTGTGGGCCCAGCTACTCAGGAGGCTGAGGCAGGAGAATTGCTTGAACCCATGAGGTGGAGGTTGCGGTGAGCCGAGATCCACCACTGCACTCCAGCCTGGCGCCTGGCGACACACCAAGACTCTGTCTCGAAAAAAAAAAAAAGAAAAGAAAATCAAGAAAACACATTATAAAAAGGAACCAAAAAGAAATTCTAGAGCTAAAAAGTATAATGACTAAAATTTAAAAAATTATTCAAGGTGTCCAAGAGCAGAATTGAACAGGTAGAAAAAAGAATAGGTGAACTTTAAGAAAGGACAATTCAAATGATCAAGTCTAAGGAGCAGAAAGAAATAAGAATGAACAATTACCATATGATCCAACAGGTCTATTTCTGGGTTTATACTTAAAATAATTGAAACAGACGCATACTCATATGCCAATGTTCAAAACAGAATTATTCATAACAGTCAAAAGGTAGAAACAACCCAATGTCGGTCAACAGATGAATAAAGTTTAGTATATATATATAATGGAACATTATTCAGTCTTGAAAAGAAATTCTGACACATGCTACAACATAATGAACCTTGAAAATATTATATTAGGGGAAATAAGCCAGACACAAAAAGGCAAGTATTATTTAATTCCACTTATGTCAGGTATCGGGAATAGGCAAATTTACAAACACAGAAAGTTGAATAGAAGTTACCAGGGCTGGCGGGGAGGGGAATGGAGATATTGTTTAATAGGTACAGGGTTTTTTGAGATGATCAAAATGTTCTGAAAATGGGTAATGTTTCTGATTGAGTAACTTTATGAATATACTTCATGCAGATAAACTGTACACTTAAAAATGGTTAAATTGGTAAATTTTGTTATATATATTTCACCAGAATAAAAAAAAGTACAAAAGAGAAAAAGAAAAAAAGACGTATGCGAGAAAAGCACCCAAATACTCACCAGTTCTAGCTGCTCAGCAGCAGATGCAGCTTTCCCAGTATCTGCATTGTCGTAAGAAAACGGTCTTCTGGCAGTTTCACCCACCCCAGAATCTTCACCTGTTGTAATGCAAGAATTCTGCACGTTTCCCTAAAATAAAATATGCCCGTTATGCAATTGAATTCAACTTTTAATAAACATGCATACTTTACAAATAGAATACCGATTCTCACCTTTGATGAAAAGAAAAAGCATATGCTTCTACACTACAAGTCAAGAATCATTTTATATTTTCAGGCTATTCGGGTCATATTCTACAAGCGTTGCAAAGTCAAATTCCTTCAGGTACAGGCAGTAATCTAAATATGAGCAAAGAGGGCTAGATTTCAGTGCATTCAACAAATGGAATTATCCTTTACTCCTCTGAAGATGTATACTCTCGAAGCGCACACCCCTCTCTTAGTTTTTCATTTTCCACATTTCACAAAGGCATGGCTAATAATAATTTCTGTCACAATGCTGCCTTCTATGTTCTCTACCCTGTTTTATGTATGTCACATATATTAACTAATTTAATCATTACAACAATTCTGTGAGATAGATAGGTTACATTGTTGCCTCCATTTTATACAGGAGGACACTAAGTCACAGAGGTAGCAAGTTGGGTCACAGAGGTAGCAAGTGGCTAGTAAGTAGCAGCAGTAGGATCTGAAACCTGTCAGTCTGGATCCAAATATCTATGTGGTTCCAGGCACAGAACTCCTGGTTCCAGGCACAAAACTCCTAAAACCCTGTAATTTCCTGAGTGATATGTGTGATAGTGTGATACGAGCACCTTTCATTAAAATATTTGGTCTTAGTCCTCCGTTCCTGACACAAATGTCTTCTAAGACCCTTAGGATCTCCACAGTGATAAAAGCATCTTTTTGTATGTTAAGATGATTGGTGGCTGGAGTCCATAATTAGAAGACTAGAATTTAGAGCCCCACTCCCCCACCTCAAGGGAGGAAAGCACTGGAGATTGACTTAATCATCAACAGCCAATGATTTAACCAATCATGCCTATGTAATAAAACCTCCATAAAAATCCTATATGATGAGGTTCAAAGAATTTCTGGGTTGGCGAATGCATCCACATGCCAAGAGGGTGGTATACCCAAACTCCACAGACAGAAGCTCCTCTACTTGGGGCCATCATGGACCTTGCCCTGTGTGCCTCTTCAATTGGCCGTTCATTTATATCCACCCTCTCAGCACTGAATGTAGTAAGCAGCCCAAAGATCTGGGGGATTTATATGTACAAGAAGGAGAATGCTTACATTAATTTAATTCAACAAATAATTATTGAACACTTGCTAAGGGCCAAAGGATATGGTAGTAGGCACAAGAGAGGACAGGTCCCCAAACACTGAACTATACTACAGTGTCATATAAAGGATATTATACAAGTAAAGAAGTGTTTCCCTGAATTTTGTGAGCCATTATAGCAAATTATCAAACATTAGGAAGGGATTGTAGGAACCCCCAATTTACAGCCGAGTCAGACAGAATTGTGGATAAAGACCTATTATTTGCAATCGGTATCTAAAGTAGCAGGTAGTCACGTGGGACAGAGCCCTTACCCTGTCGGTCTGATACTAATTGTGTAGTGACTGTCAGAATTGAACTGAATCACTGGGCACCCATTTGGTATCCACAGAGAAGGGAGAATGGCCAGGTGTAGGAGAAAACAATCCCAAACATTTGGTGTCAGGAGTGTTATGAGAAAAAGGAATCGTTTCTTTTTCCTTTAATATCCTATATCATTATGATCTTCTGCCTTTCCAGAAAAATATTTATCTTCAATAAAAAGGAACAGTGCATGTGCAGTGATAGAGTTGACATGCAGCCTGCATACCAGGGCTTCAAAAAGAAGAGTAGGCACTGTGACAAACCACAGAAATGCGTGCCACTCAAAGGAAGCAGCCAGTACTCAATTTCAGTCAATTACTGCCACGTGGGATTGAACATTCAGATTACCAGATATCTGGTTCTTCACATGAAACATTATTAAATACTGGCTCAAAATTTATCAAACAAAGCAAACACGTCTGAGTTGCATGTGGTGTACCACTGAATGTCACCCTCTCGACATTCAACACAGCAAGCGGCCAAAAGTTCCGGGGAATTTATGTGTACAAAAAGGATTAAAACACCTATATTAATTTAATTCAACAAACAATTACTGAACACTTGCTAAGGGCCAAAGGATATGGTAGTAGTCACAGGGAGGACAGGTCCCCAAACACTGAACTATACTACAGTGTCATATCATGCTAGACTGTGGTAAACTACATTCATCTAAAGTAGTATTCTGAAGTTCTATTTCACACTAATCTGGAAGTTCAGTTTAGTGCAAATATTTGTGTAACACCTTTAGTGTTCAGACATCGTGCTAAGAGACTGGAGGAAAAAAATCAGCATGATCAATCTTAGCTCCAAGGAGTTTACAGTCTAATAAGGGAGACACACACCTAGGCAGGTAATTTCAATTTAATAATGTCAGTCCCAGGCCAAAGGTGTGCACAGGGGCCTCTGCCAAAACAGAGGGATACTAAGGGCACCCAGAAATCCAAGAAAGGTTTTCTGGAAAAAATTTGACACTGGTGTGATATCTTAAAGGATGACTAAGGGTAAGCTAGATGGAAATGGCATTCTAAGAAGAGAGAACTTCGTGACAAATGCTGTAGAGGTATGGAATACATGGTGACTGCAGTGGGGTCTTAGACAATTCAACATTACTGGAGGTGAAAATATAAGGTGATAAATGTCAGAAGATGAAGCTAAAGAATCAAGTAAGGGACTTGAGAGCACACCATGCCGTGGAATGAGTTTGCACTTGATTCTCTAGGTAGAGCCAAATCCCCTAAGATATGATTGCATTTAAAATTGTTTTTGAGATCAATAAAGGAGGGTGGCACTAATTTTCTATGGAGAAATTGGAAGAAGCACGTAGGCCACAGATCATTTACTTCTGATACAAAATATTATAATCCTTTGGAAAGAAGTGCCAGTCTAATGGATATTTTGTTCTTTCACAGATAGCTTTAAAAATTTTGAATGCTATTTAACCAAGATTAAAAAAAAAAAAAATCTAAGTGTGTTAAATCCCTGAAGATCATTCAAAACCTTTGATTTCCTTTTTTTTTTTTTTTTTCCCCCTGAGATAGAGTCTCACTCTGTCACCAAGCTGGAGTGCAGTGGCACGATCTCAGCTCACTGCAACCTCCGCCTCCCGGGTTCAAGCGATTCTCCTCCCTCAGCCTCCCGAGTAGCTGGGACTACAGTTCTGTGCCACCATGCCCAGCGAATTTTTGTATTTTTAATAGAGATGGGGTTTCACCATGTTGGCCATGATGTTCTCCATCTCTTGACCTCGTGATCCACCCGACTCGGCCTCCCAAAGTGCTGGGATTACAGGTGTGAGCCACTGTACCTAGCGTGATTTCTTAATTGGGGGTGGCAGGGGGTGAGGTATGGTATGAGAGGGGATGAGAACAAACATGAAAAGGGAGACCCACCCTTAAACTGTGTGGGCACCATCTAATCAGCTGCCAGCGGATATAAAGCAGGCAGAAAAACATGAAAAGGCTAGACTGGCCTAGCCTCCCAGCCTACATCTTCCTCCCGTGCTAGGTGGTACTTCCTGTCCTCAAACACTGAACTCCAAGTTCTTCACCTTTGGGACTTGAACTGGCTTCCTTGCTCCTCAGCTTGTAGATGGCCTATTGTGGGACCCTGTGATCATGTGAGTTAATACTACTTAATAAACTCCCAGATACATATATACATCCTATTAGTTCTCTCCTTTGAGAGAACCCTAATACACCATATAAATGTTTCAATTATCTTTTTTTAAAGGCATTATGAAACACTGAGTATCAGTATTGAAGTCAGCAAATTTCAATATAGCAAGGGAAGATTAAGCATCAACATTTTAATTGACTAATTACAAAAACCAATCCCCCCAAAGAATATATTTCTAAACACTTTTGTTCATGTTAAACACTTTTATTCATGTTATAACTTCTGACACAGCACTGTGAATGTATTACCAAAATGTCTGGTTTTTTGTTTGTCTTGTTTTTATTGAGGCAAGGTCTCACTCTGTTGCCCGGACTGGAGTGCAGTGGTGTGATAAGGGCTCACTGCAGCCTTGACCTCCTGGGCTCCTCTGACCTCAGTCTCCCAAGTAGCTGGGAACACAGGTGTGCAACAGCCATGCTCAGCTAATTTTTTTTTTTAAGAATTGGAGTCTCATTATGTTGCTCAGGCTGGTCTGGTACTCTTGGGCTCAAGTGTTCCAGCAGTTCAAGTGATCATCCTTTCAAACTGCTGAAATTACATGTGTTAAGACACCAGACCTGGCTTTGAAGTGTTTTTCAATTCACACAGGTATAGAATGGGGGTAACAATTCAGTAATAACAAATAACAGAAGACTAACATTAAAGTAGATATCAAGCTCATCTGGCATACCTGCAGTAATCATTTCAATATCTACATTACATTTAGCTCAGATGAATGTTTATAAAAACAACAAAAACTCTCTAAAACCTTATCCTATGATTCTGCCTGTAGTTTTGTTTAGCATATTTTCATTGCTCATGCTGCTAGGCATGTGTGCTCTTACCATCACTTCCTTCCCCTTTTGCATTACTCATTTCTCTTGTCCTCTGATTCACTCGGCTGTCTAATTTCCTTTCTCACTTCACTTCCCCTTCTTCCAGTTCTTTGCCATTATATAAATACTGAAGACTATGAATAATTGAATCACTGCTTGCTAAGTGACTACATATGTGGAAGAAAGGCAACCGAATATTTTTAAAATAAGTTACTCGTAAGTATTTTCTATATGGTGATATCTTCTTCAAATTGACATTAAAATAATAAGCAACTAAGATGGAATTTTTACCACTAATAATTATATAAATCTTCAGGAAAAAGTTATATAGTGAGGAGAAAAGAACTGATCATACACTTAAATGCAATTGCAGAAAATTCAACTGAAATACTAATTCACCCACTTCATTTATCAGAGTTCATATACTCCTATGCTTCTCAATAGCAAATCCTAACACATACAACTCTAGGATTGTAAACGAACTATCAATTCAGATAAATAATTTTTTAAAAACTTCAAAAACAAAAACTAGAGGATATCACAATAAATCATCAAGACATTCATATGTTTTCTTAATGGCTGATTTACTAATGATGACACAGTCAAAACCACCAGAGTAAATTGCAAAGTGAAGCTGGAATAGGCGAGTACAAAAACTTCCGCATGGAGAGTTAAATTTGTCTCAAAAAGCAGAACAAGCTGTGACTATAACTTAGAGCAAAACAGTTAAAAAACGTTTAAGACAAAAGTACTCTGCTAAGTCATAAGAAAATATTAAGTTTACGCACTATTTAAATGTCACCACAATAATCTTGTGTCACACAATGACAGAGATAATCTGACCTAATGTTCTTCACACTGTGGGCCAGACATTGGAATCACTTAGGCAACTTGATAAACGTGTATATCCCTAGGAGTCAACCAGGCCAAGTGAATCAGACTCACAGGGGATGGAGTCCAGGAATTTGCACTCCTAACTCCTGGCATAGGCTAATCTTCTCAAATTACCAATAAAGAAATAAAGGACATATGGGATTAAGCTATGTAAAGCCGTCTAAAATTACTCACTAAACACCAATCTTCTTAGAGACAATGGGAAGACTAACATTTTGATTCTTGGACCCCAAGGCTACATCACGCTGCTAATTAGATTTACTAGATTTCAGACCTCAAGGAAAATTTAGAGAAATCCAACAGAAATCTAAGCTAAGGTTCTCAACAGACACAAGAAGACTTAACAAAGTCCTTCTTGTGTCACATACTTCGTGCTTTCACACCAGCTCTTTCCATATGGAAAAGCAGAAATGGTATGCTCAAAGAGGAAACTGTAGCAAATATCACTATATCATTTCATCTGAGAAGTCATTCTACTACAGTGAAGTTTGATATTTGAGTCTCAGAGAAATACCAACATAGTACTTGGGCCACACTTCAAGGAGAAAATCTAAGCCGTTAAGAAGGCAGGGAGAGAGGGCAGAAGGGAATATTCACACTTAAATAAAATTTATGATTTAAAATAATGCTCACAGATGCATCCAGAAGTGTTTGTTCCCTCATTGTCTCCTCTTGTCTTTGAGATTTCAGCTCTTGCTGGAGCCTTTCATTTTCAAGTACAATTACTTGTATTCTATTTTTCATTACAAAGAGTTCCTCCTATAATAAGCAAAACCAAATACATTAAGCATTATTTAACAGTGTTTTCATCTGTTAATTATTAGAGGAACCAGCATGGTTTAAGGTCTGGCAGACTTACGTTCTCCATTTCCAGAAATATAATTATATTTAGACAAACGAGACAATCTAAACATTAGCTAGATAACAAAGAGAGGCTGGGGTATATAGCAATGGGCCTGCTGGTGGCATCTCACAAAAGTGTGTCATTTCTGACAATTTCCTTTTCTACAAGGAATCGAGGCTCAAAGAAAAGCCTTAATTAAAAGGGTTATCCAAGAGATTTTAAAGAATGGGGTAGACTGCTGAAAAATGAGGTAAGATATATTATTGCCCATGATCGAATACCATTCACGTGTTAAAAACTGATGGAAGATTAAATAGAGGGAGGGTCTGAGATAGAAAGGCATAGACAGGTGTGATGATCATACATGAAATGGTAGCCAGAGAGGAGAGAATTGTAGTAAAACATTTCACGAAGAATTCTGAGAGTATTTCCTTGGCTTCACAGGGCATAAGATGAAGAATTGTAAATCAATAACAATTAGAATTACAGGATGTCACATAAGAAATTACAGGTCAACAGTAATTAGAATAGCTATTAAGTGGCACCTCACTCTCTGGAAAAATATTTCAATAATATCAGTATATCGATCATATAATAACCTAATATTCATTAAAGTGTAATCAAAAGCAACTGTGCAACATGTGCAAATTCCCAATTATTATTTTTTAAAAACCCAAAGCTATAATAAAAAGCTGTAATTAAAAAAATATTGCAGACTTTCAATTTTCAATCTGGAATGTAATGAGCTTGGAACACCTCACTCCCATCTTCCCAACAGGAAAAATATTCAACAAACTGAAAATCAACAACTCTTCTTAGATCCATCAGAGAACTGAAGTCATAGGAAAAATTGCTGCCCAAAAATTGAAGAGATGAGTGGACACTGAGACACACAATTTGCTGGAGGAAATCAGAAACCTCTGTAGGAGATAGAAAATCTAAACTGTAACTGATGACTTGCTGGAAGCTCAGTGTCATAAGTTTGAGAGGTAAAAATTCCAGACCAGGCGTGGTGTGATCCTCGCCTTTGGGAGGCTGAGGCAGGCGGATCACAAGGTCAGGAGTTCAAGACCAGCCTGGTCAATATGGTGAAACCCTGTCTCTACTAAAAATACAAAAATTAGCCAGGCATGGTGGTGTGCACCTGTAGTCCCAGCTACTCAGGAGGCTGAGGCAAAAGAATCACTTGAACCCAGGAGGCGGAGATTCCAGTGAGCTGAGATTGTGCCACTGCACTCCAGCCTGGGCAGCAAAGCTAGACTCCATCTCAAAAAAAAAAAAAAAAAAAAAAAAAAATTCCGGAAAGACCCAGTCATAGGAGGGCTGCCCTGCCACCCCAGTTTTATCTCCAGCACACTACCAGGATTTCACAGTAAAAAGAGAAAAGTCCCCTTATGTAACCTAAAGGAAGAAGAAAAGCAGCCACTTTGAAATATACTCAGAACGTTGTGTTCTTTGTAACAGGCCTGACTCAAAGGAAACTATTTTAGCAGAGCCTAACTGACAGGAGTACTGCTGTCACCTAACTGACCTAAAGAAAAGTAAATATCCAACTCCAGCCCCCTTCAGCATTCCCTGTGGGACGATGTGGACTCAGGCTACCTCTAGCTATCCTGTTTAACTTAAAGGGCAGGGGAGACTGAAAAGCACTTGAGAATGTCACAGCCCAAGGCGCAGGCTTACTAAAAGACTTAGATCTAGTCACAGGGCTATTGAACACGTCCCTCTACTCCCACATCTAACTACCTAGGGCTCCTGGACACTAACAGAGAAATTCAACAGAAAGAACTACATATCTCAGATTACATTTAGGAAGAATTCACTAGCGTAACCCACAGACAAGAGAAGAGACAAAACCAGGACACTGAAGGAAATTTTAGCCTCTGATATGTATAGTGACAGCAAACACAGCCTAACTTCTATCCAGATAAACATAAAACCTCACACGAAAGGCCTAGTTATCTCAGTTCCTTTTACCCAATACTTCATGTCCAGCATTCACCAAACAATTACAAGACAGGCTAAAAGACTGAAACACAGTTTGGAAAGATTAAATAAGCATCCGAAGTAGTCTCAGATAAGGAAGAGATGTTAGAATTATCAGAACGGGAATTTAAAATAATTATAATTAAGGCCAGTGTGGTGGCTCACGCCTGTAATCCCAGCACTTTGGGAGGCCAAGGTGGGAGGATCATCTGAGGTCAGGAGTTCGAGACTAGTCTGACCAAAACGGTGAAACCCTGTCTCTATTAAAAATTTAAAAAAAATTAGCCAGGCATGGTGGTGCATGCCTGCAGTCCCAGCTACTCAGGAGGCTAAGGCAGGAGAATCACTTGAACCCAAGAGGTAGAAGTTGCAGTGAGTCGAGATTGTGCCACTGCACTTAAGCCTGGGAGACAGGGCAAGACTCTCTCTCAAAATAAATAAATTAATTAATTAATACATACATACAAACAATAATTATGATTACTATGTGAAGGTCTCTAATAGAAAAAGTAGACTAAATGCAAGAACAGCAGAGTAATGTAAGCAGAGAGATGGAAACTCTATGAAGAAAATGAAAAGAAAATGCCCAAAATAAAAAAATATTAACGGACATAAAGAATGCCTTTGATAGGCTCATCAGTAGATTGGACATAGCTGAGGAATGAATTAATACACTTTAATAACTGTCAATAAAAATTTCCAAAAAAGAAATGCAATAAAGAAAAAAATTGAAGACAGAAAAATTATACAAGAACCGCAGTACAATTATAAATGCTGTAATAAAGAAATATAAATATGTAAATATGTATATAACAGGAACACACACACACACAAAGGAAAGAAAGGAACAGAAGAAATATTTTCATCAATAATGAATGAAAAATTTCCTGAGTTAATGACAGGCATCAAACCACAGATTTAGGAAGCTCACAGAACACTAAGCAGGATAAATACTAAAACAAATACACTGAGGAATATCATATTCACACTGCAGAAAATCAAAGACAAAGAGAAAAATCTGAAAATAAGGCAGAGTAGGCCAACAAACAAAACCCAAAAATCAGGCCAGGCGCAATGGCTCATGCCTGTAATCGCAGCACTTTGGGAGGCCAAGGTGGGTGGATCACTTGAGATCAGAAGTTCAAGACCATCCTGGCCAACATGGTAAAACACTGTCTCTACCAAAAATACAGAAATTAGCCGGGCTTGGGGGCAGGGACCTGTAATCCTAGCTACTTGGGAGGTTAAGGTATGAGAATTGCTTGAATCCAGGAGGCGGAGGTTGCAGCGAGCAAGATCTCCTCCAGCCTGTGCAATACAGCAAGACTCAGTCTCAAATTGGAAAAAACAAACAAACAAAAAATCTAACAAACAAAAAAACCAAAACCTTACCTATAGAGAAGCAAGGGTAAGAATTACCTGTGACTACTTTTTAGAAGGCAAACAAGCAGAAAGAGAATAAAATGAATGAAGTATTTAAAGCATTAAAAGAAAAAAAAATCCACCAACCTAGAATTCTGGATTCAGCAAGATTAACCTTCAAAAGACAAAGAAAAATATTTTCCTAAAGAAACAAGAATTGATGGAATTTATTGCTAGCAGATACACCTTGCAAAAAATGTTAAGAAAGTTCTTCGACCTGTAATCCCAGCACTTTGGGAGGCCGAGGTGGGTGGATCACGAGGTCAAGAGATCGAGACCATCCTGGTCAACAAGGTGAAACCCCGTCTCTACTAAAAATACAAAAAATTAGCTGGGCATGGTGGCACATGCCTGTAATCCCAGCTACTCAGGAGGCTGAGGCAGGAGAATTGCCTGAACCCAGGAGGCGGAGGTTGCGGTGAGCCAAGATCGCGCCATTGCACTCCAGCCTGGGTAACAAGAGCGAAACTCCGTCTCAAAAAAAAAAAAAAAAGTTCTTCAGAAAGGAGAAAAGATGACAAGGTCAGAAACTGCCATCTACATAAGGAAAAAAAAGAGCACTAGAGAAGGAATAAGTGGATATAAAATATTTTCTTATGAATTTATTTGACAGATGACACTTGGTGTTCAACATCATAATTGCAATAGTGTTGATAGTAACTGTAGTTTATGGATAACTAAAATTAATGACAGAAATGTTATAAAGGATGAGAGAGGTCATGGGAATTCTGTTAAAAGGAATTTATACAATTCAAAAAGTGGCCCAGGGTTACTTGAAAGTAAACTTAGGTTAGTTATAGATGTGTATTGCAAACTCCAAGGCAACCAGTAAAGAAAAAAAAAAGAAGTAGTAGTACAACTGATCAACTGTCACGCTAAGATAGGAGAAAAATGCAATCATACAAAAATTAGCTGGCTGTGGTAGCTCACACCTGCAGTCCCAGCTACTAGGGAGGCTGAGGCACGAGAACTGATTGAACACAGGAGGCAGAGGTTGCAGTGAGCCAAGATGGTGTCACTGTACTCCAGCCTAGGTGACTGAGAGAGACTCTGTCTCCAAAAATAAAAAATAAAATGCAATAATATAAAATGCTCAGTCAAAGCCACAGAAGGGACAGGTGCAGAGGCTCACACCTGGTAAGCCCAGGATTTTGGAAGGCTGAGGTGGGAAGATCACTTGAGGCCAGGAGTTCGACACCAGCATGGGCAACATAGTGAGCCCTCATCTTCACAAAAAAGAAAAAAAAAACCCACAAATATTAGCCAGGCATAGTGGTGTATGTCTGCAGTGTAGTCCCAGCTACTCGGTGGAGGAGGAGGTCGGAAGACTGCTTGAGCCCAGGAGTTCTAGGCTGTAGTGAGTTTTGATTATGTCACTGCCTAGGTAACAGGGCAAGACTCTATTTCATGGAAAAAAAAAAAAAAAAGCCAGAGAAGGCAGCAAGAGTGAAATTTTTTTTAAAGAAACAAAAATAAAGACAACGAAAATAATAGTAACAAATATGTTAGATACTGATCCAATTATAACAATAATCTCTTTAAATGTAGTGATCTGAATATACCAGGCGTCCCCAAACTTTTTACACAGGGGGCCAGTTCACTGTCCCTCAGGCCATTGGAGGGCTGCCACATACTGTGCTCCTCTCATTGACCACCAGTGAAAGAGGTGCCCCTTCCTGAAGTGCGGCAAGGGGCTGGATAAATGGCCTCAGGGGGCCGCATGCGGCCCGCGGGCCGTAGTTTGGGGACTCCTGGAATATACCAACTAAAAGACAGAGACTGTCAGAGTGGTTAAAAAAAGAACAACAAACTATATGTCGTCTACAAGAAGCCTACAATAGCCAGGCCAGGTGGCTTACATCTGTAATCCCAGTTACTTTGAGGTGGGAGGATCCCTTGAGCATAGGAGTTCAAGACCAGCCTAAGCAACATAGTGAGACCCCCCCCATCTCTAAACAACAACAACAACAAAAACCTCAGAACAAAAAAGAGGCCAACTATAAATACAAAGACACAGACAGATTAAAAATAAATGAATAATGGCTCACGCTTGGTGGCTTCCGCCTGTAATCCCAGCAGTTTGGGAGGCTAAGACGGGTGGATCACGAGGTCAGGAGTTCAAGATCAGCCTGGTCATCATAGTGAAACCCTGTCTATACTAAAAACACAAAAATTAGCCAGTGTGGTGGCATGCACCTGTAATCCCAGCTACTCAGAATGCTGCGGCAGGAGAATCACTTGAACCCAGGAGGCAGAGGTTGCAGTGAGCAGAGACCGTCACTGTACTCTAGCCTGGATGACAGAGTGAGACTCTGTCTCAATAAATAAATAAATAAATAAATGAAAAAAGACATATCATGTTAACACTAATCAACAGAAAGCTGGAGTAGCCATATTAATTTTAGACAAAGCAGATTTCAAAGCAATAAAAATGATCAGGGATAAAGAGGTACATGAAACAATGATAAAGATGTCAATTCATCAAGAAGATGTAATAAGTCTTAATGTATATGTGCCTAATAAAAGGGCATCAAAATGTATAAGGTAAAGGAAAATAGATGAAGCTACTATTACAGTGGGAAATGTCAATATCTTCTGTCAGAAATTATAAAAATCAGAAAGAACACAATTGAAATGTATAGCAGCATCAACCAAGTGGATCTAATTGACATTTATAGACTGCTTTATTCAAGAACAGCAGTACACACATTTTCTTCAAGCTCACACAGAGCATTCACCAAGATAGACGACATTGTACAAACCTTAAGAAATGTCAAAGAACAGGAAAGTATGCTGTCAGACAACAATGAAATTAAACTAGAAATCAATAACAGAATGACAGCTGGGAAACTCCCCAAATACTTGATGACTACACAACACCCTTCTAAATGACACATGAATCAAAGAGGTATTAAGAGAAATTTAGAAATATTTTCAACTAAGTAAAAATTAAAATATAACTTATGAAAAGCTATATACTTATTAAAAGGACGCAGTCAAAGGAATGCAAAAAATCAGAAAAGAAGAAAAATTTCAAATAAATAATCGAAGATTCTACCTTAGAAGCTGGAAAACCAATAGCAAATTAATTCTAGAGCAAGCAGAAAAAATATATAACAAAAATTAGAGTAAAATCAATGAAATTAAAAATAGAAAAACAAAATCAAAAGTTGGGTCTTTGAAATGATGAGCAAAATTGATAAGACTCTTTATAGATTAGCTAAGAAAAAAAGAGAGAAGATACTAATTCGATTCCATCATATAGTAAGATCAGAAGTGAAAATGGGGCCATCACTACTGATCTCATGAACATTAAAAGGATAATGAAGAAATGTTTAAAAAACAGGATAACAAAGTAATACTATGAACAACTCTATGATCATGAATTAGTCACCTAGATGAAATGAACCGATTCTTTGAAAGACACAACCATGAAAACTCACGAAGAACAGATAATTTGAATAAACCTATATTTGTCAAGAAAAGTAATCAATGTTAGAAACCTTTCAAAACAGAAAGCACCAGAACCAGGTAAGTTCAGTGGTGAATTGTACCAAATACTTAAGAAAGAAATTATACCAATTGTCTATAGTATCTTCCATGAAATGCAAGAGGAAGTATTTCCTAACTCATTTTATGAGGCCAGCATTAACCTAATATCCAAACCAAGTGAAAACATTACAAAAGTGGAAAATTACAGGTCAATATCTCTAATGAACAGAGATGCAAAAATCCTCAACAAAATACTGGCAAATCAAATCCAACAATGTAAAAAAGAATTATATACTAGGATAAAGTAGGATTTATTCTAAGTATACAACATTGGTTTGACATTTGAGCATCAGTTAATGTAATCCATCACATCAACAATGTAGAAGAAAAATCATAATTAAACAGTAGACGCAGAAAAAGCATTTGACAAAATGCGGCAGCCATCTATGATAAACACAGATGGTCCCTGACTTCCAATGGTTTGACAAACGATTTTTTTGACTTTATTATGCTGCAAAAGCAATATGCATTCAGTAGAAACCGTAATTCAAGTTTTAAGTTTTGATCTTTTCCCAAGCTAGCAATATGCAGTATAATATTCTCTCATGCTGCTGGGCAGCAGCAGTGGCAGTGAGCTGTAGCTCCCGTTTAGCCATGCAATCACAGAGGTAAACAACCAATATTCTATAGCATAGTAAATGCATTTTCAACTTACAATGAGTTTATCAGGACACAATCCCATCGTAAGTTAAGGAGCATCTGTACTCTCGGTAACTAGGAATAGAGGGAAACATTCTCAACTTGATAAAGAACATCTACAAATAACCCACAGCTAACATATTTTACGGCAAGAAAGTAAGTTTCCCACTAAGATCAGGAATGAGGCAAAGATGGCTCCTCTCACAACCATTCAACATCATTCCAAAAGTCTTACTTAGCTAATGCAATAAGGCAATTAAAAAAACAAAATCTGGCCGGGCACATTTGCAAAGCCTGTAATCTCAACACCTTGGAAGGCCCAGGCAGGAGGACTGTTTGAGCCCAGGAGTTCAAGACCAGCCTGGGCAACATAATGAGACCTTAACTCTACAAAATAATAATAATAATAAAGAAATAGCCGAGCTTAGTGGCATGCACCTGTGGTCCCACCTACTAGGGAGGCTGGAGTAGGAGCCTCCCTAGTAGCTGGGATGAGCCCAGGATGTCAACGCTACAGTGAGCCATGATCATGCCACTGCACTCCTGCCCGTAAAACAGAGCCAGACCCTATCTCAAAAAAATTAATTTGTTGGAAACAGATGCTCCGTGCCACAAAGAAAAATCAGCACTGAGACAAAGAAAGGATCTCTCAGCAAGACCATCTTTACTTCCTGCAGAAAGGGTGCTTGAATGATATTAATGACGTTAGTAAACTGCACACAGTTGAGCGTATAACCTTCTAGTGTTACAAGCTATATGTGATACATTTGGTTTCTCGATCATTACTATCAGTTACCTATGAACCATTCTTATTCAAAGTCAAAGGAAGAGTCTTAATACTGACAGTGGAAAAGATTTGGTCTACTAGTTTGGAATCCCTGATTGTTGTACCACTGCTCCAATAGGTTGACAAATGTGGGAGAATGACTGGTATTTGTATTCCAAAGCATTTGCCATTTGCTGGGCTACAGCCAGTGGGGTAGGAAGAAAAAATTCTGAAATATGAGATCATATAATGAAATCATTAGATATACTAGTGAACTACTGGGAAATCAAGCAGTCAGAAATGGTGCAATCAAGAGTATCATTCCCAAGTCTGACAAGCTCTTGTAACACGTCAGTATCTCAATCATGTAAGAATAGCAATGCTCAATGTATTGCTATAAACGTGAAGATTAATAGTAGCAAATTTTTATACAATATATAATTAATATAAGCTTTAATTTATTTAGTTTTAAATTCTTTTTTTTTTTTTTTTGAGGCGGAGTTTTGCTCTTGTTACCCAGGCTGGAGTGCAATGGCGCGATCTCGGCTCACCGCAACCTCTGCCTCCTGGGCTCAGGCAATTCTCCTGCCTCAGCCTCCTGAGTAGCTGGGATTACAGGCACGTGCCACCATGCCCAGCTAATTTTTTTTGTATTTTTAGTAGAGACGGGGTTTCACCATGTTGACCAGGATGGTCTCGATCTCTTGACCTCGTGATCCACCCGCCTCGGCCTTCCAAAGTGCTGGGATTACAGGCGTGAGCCACCGCCCCGGCAGTTTTAAATTCTTAATGAGAAACTTACCTTGCAGAACTTAACTTCCGCCTCTAAATGATGGATATATTGAGACTGGTCATTAATGATAGGAACAAGGTTGCACATAGTAGGCATACTGGTTTCCTCAAGTTCTAATGACCCCTATGGCAAAATAAACAAATAATTTTTAAAAATGCAAATTAAGCATGTTTGGATTTACCAAAGAATCAGTTGTTACCTTCTCCATACTCAATTTTGCACTGATGTGACATAAACATAGAATCGATCACAATGTAGCTTATAATATTGATATAGCTTGGATGTTTATCCCCCACAAACCTCATGATGAAATGTAGCCTCTTACAACACTGGAGGTGGGGCCTGGTGGGAGGGGTTTAGGTCATGATGAATGAATGAATTAATACCTTGTTGCTGGTGCTATCCTCATGATAATGAGTTCCTGTTCTGAGTTTTGGTGAGATCTGGTTGTTTAAAAGAATGTGGCACCTCCACCCACTTCTTGCTCTGATTCTCACCACATGAAATGCCTGCTCTGCTTCACCCTCCACCATGACTCTAAGTTTCCTGAGGTCCTCACCAGAATGTGATGCCAGTACCACACTTCCTATACAGCCTGCAGAACGATGAGCTGATTAAACCTCTTTTTAAAATAAATTTGCCCAGCCTCAGGTATTTATTTATAGCAATATGAAAATGGACTAATACAAATACTTGCTTCTCTAGCCTATAAATTCCACAAATACACAAGATTCGTGGATGTGAATATCTTTTTTTTTTTAAGATGCATGGTGAAAGTGGTTATAAAGAACACATAGAGTGAATGGGAAAATGCCATGGTAGTAGTAGTATAACTGGCTTGGAATGAACGGAGTATTTTAACAAACTGGAAAAGTGACATTTCATTCAGTAATGCTGAGATACAGGGGACAACGCTCTCCAAGAAACTGCCATGGAAGAGGATTTGCTAGCTAAAACTGCAGCAGCTCCCTGAAGGAGAGATTCTTGAAGAGGTGTCTGATGCCAAGCCTGTGTCAATGAGATAAAATTCCATCTCAAAGAGGAAACATTAGCAAAATGTAGTTTTTGATTTTTGACTCTAGTATTGAACACAATTCAAGTGTGTGCTGTTCTGGAACACAGAACCTCTAAGAATAGAGCCCTAAAGTAGAGACACACTGCATTGAGGGGTCCAACAGAGAGATTTCAAAAAGAAACGCTAATGCTACTTTAGCTCTGTAGCATTCCGGGAACTGACTGTTAATGTGTATCTTTCTTACCTTATCTTAAAATGACTGTGACATAGTTTGTAAAATCATATACCAATCACATGATTTTTTTTTTTAAGGATGAGGAAATCAGGAAAAGGGAAAACAAGGGTCAACCAGTTAAACAAACCCAGAGGAAAGCTTAAAATGAGGCACAGTGTCTCTCAGCCATTCTCTTTCTCAGCAGAGCAGAAATTTTAAATGCTAATGAGGTATCAGCTATCATGGCAGAATAAAATAGAACAGAGCTTTACTTTTTGGTATATTTAAGAAATTTAAAAACTGAAGTAGCTCTAATTAAATGAATTATCGGTCATGAATAGAAATCAAACAGTAATAATAACCCTACATTAATAGAAATAGGTTCAGAGGTAGGCAAATATAAATTACTATGAGTAAACAGGAGGAAGTCAATGTGAAAAACAAAAAGCTCAAGCTAAAATTGCATGAAATACGTTCACATGAAATCATCTGTGTATGCTTTGAAGGGGTTTAGTTTGGATATCTGCATTTTAAGATAACAAGTAATACATTTTTTTTTTCTATCTCAACAGTGCCTCAGTTTTACTCTCAATATATCAACATATTTCTAATATGTTATAGTGGCTACAAAAGTGCATTCTAAGGGTACAATCTTAAAAACTATTATTATCATGGTTTATAATTATTACATGTAGACTGCACACATTTAGAGTCTAAGTTCCATTCTTTTACACAGCTCTATATAAATAGACTTATTAAAGTGTACTCTGTATGTACTAAACTCATTCTCTTAATGAAGGTCTTCCTGCCTCTCTGGATTCAATAAGATCCACAGTATCACTGCTCAGATTTTAAAAAGCTAATGAGCATGTCTGAGCATTTGACAGATAAAGCAACTTCATCTAGTAGACTTAAAAGCATTCTACCAGTTGTGTGCTTAAGAGCATCTTAGAAACCAGATGTCAATAGTAATAAATTCATTAAATAATGTTTTATTAAAATCATAATCTATAATCTATAAATATTGAATATGCACATGAGGTACATTTCTCTCAAGTGGGAATTAAGCTTAAAAGTATGTGTCAGTCTGGAATGAAGTGTTAATACGGGAGTGAAATTCTGAAATTTCAGTGAAGCAAAGAAAGTGACATGTCTCCATACTTTTCAGCATATAGGCATTGTCTTCAACTATAAAACACATTGTAAATGCAAGGTGTGGCCAGGCGCCGTGGTTCACACCTGTAATCCCAGCACTCTGGGAGGCTGAGACAGGTGGATTACCTGAAGTCAGGAGTTCGAGACCAGCCTAGCCGATATGGTGAAACCCTATCTCTACTAAAAATACAAAAAAATTAGCCTCATGTGGTAGTGCACACCTGTAATCCCAGCTACTAGGGAGGCTGAGGCATGAACATTGCTTGAATCTGGGAGGCAGAGGTTGTAGTGAGCTGAGCGTGCCACAGCACTCCAGCCTGAGCAACAAGGTGAGACTCCATCTCAAAGAAATAACATAATTAAAAATAAAATGTATTATTTTAAAATTTAAAAATTAAAAAAAAATTACAACAGAGAGCTACAATTAAAATTAAGTAACTTGTAAAAATGATCGAAGATGGACGTGACCCTCTGAAAAAGAAATCACTAAAACCATTACTTTACCTTTTACATATATTCTCCTTAAACTTACATAATTTATACTAATTTATTACATATTATATATTTATATTACATATTTTGCCAGCAGTTGCAAAATAAATTTTCTCAACTATTCCCTTGCTCCCATTTTCCAAGTAAACGATAAATTTAAAATATCAAGATTTGCTCTGCCATGGAAATCAATTTTTTCAGCCAAAATAATCAGAGGGAAGAGAATTTCTTTTAATGTTTTTCACTATTAGCATGCCCTGATTAATTTTTTTCTGCAACATGTACTACAAAATGACACAGTACAGCAAAACAAAGGAATGCTGGCCAGGCGCGGTGGCTCAACCCTGTATTTCCAACACTTTGGGAGGCCAAGGCGGGTGGATCACCCGAGGTTGGGAGTTTGAGACGAGCCTGACCAACATGAAGAAACCCTGTCTCTACTAAAAATACAAAACAGCCGGGTGTGGTGGCAGACGCCTGTAATTCCAGCTACTCAGGAGGTTGAGGTGGGAGAATCGCTTGAACCCATGAGGCAGAGGTTGCGGTGAGCCAAGATCACACCATTGCACTCCAGTCTGGCCAAAAAGAGCAAAACTCCATCTCCAAAACAAACAAACAAACAAACAAACAAACAAAAAACAAAGTAATGCTTTGTCAAGTTGGAAAAGTTGATACTTACCAAAGGGGACATTTTTCCTCTTCTTGACGGAGATACTTCATTTTCCTTATCTGCTTGTTGGCGCAACAAATCTTTGAGCTGATTAACTATAGAGCAAAAGCAGGGGGTTTATTAACCTTATTTGAGATTCATGGTTTATTACCACCCATCCACCCTTCCAACTAATAAAAATTGCTGAAATATATATTACACATCAAGAACTCTGCTATCAACTGGGGATACAAAGACCAACATAAAAAAAAAAAAAAAGAATTTCTACCCCCTAAGAGCTAAGACTCTAGCAAGCCAGAAGAGACACTAATAGACATACAGTAAGTTTGTATGCAGACCTAGAGCTATGCACAGTGCTACACGAAGAGGAAGCACCTAACTGTGCTTGTTTTCACAGAGGAGATAACACTGCAAGGATGAGCAGGAAGGAGTTCACCAAGCAGAAAAGGATGAGAACAATTCCAGTTGGAAGGCACTGCACATGTCAAAGCATAAAAGCACAGCGAGGAGGTTATTATAACTAGAACATGAGTTGTGAGATGGATGATTAGCATGAGAAGCATACCAAGATGAGCTGAAAAGGCAGGTTGGATCTATCTTAGGAAAACACTGTTGTTTTATAACTAGAATTTTGGACTTTAGCCTATAGGCATTGGGAAGTCAAAGGAAAAAAAGATTAAGCAAGAGAATTAAATTATCTGATTTGTGTTTTGGAATAACATCATAGCAGCAGAACGAAGAATGAATGGAGTTATTATTCCATGCAGTTTCAAAAATTCACTATGCATCATTCAGGCTAGGACTGACATTCATACTCACCAGCATGGCTCTGCTGCAATTCGAGCCAAGCTGTCCTGGCATCCTCATTTCCTGCACTGGTGCTAAAAGAAAGATTTGGTGCATCTTCTCCAAGAGTGACATCACCTTCCCTCAGGGCACATTTCAGCTGGTGAATACTTCGACTGGCACGTTCTGCAACAACAACCTGATGAAAGTTAGGACCAGTGAAATCTGGGTGACCGAAAGGACACCTGCTCGAGAAGACAGTTTTTAAAGGTGAAATCATTATTTCTGGTACTTTATGGAAAAAAGTAGAGTTCTGTTTCTAGCTTGCTAAGGGATGTGCCAGAGAAGGTAAGAGAAGATTAAGTTCATGGTTTAGAGGTAGGAGTTGATGATCTCTAAGGCCTGGGGTTACCACTGTGACAGTGGACACTCACTAGATACAGCATCATCAGCAAGGAGCATTAAATGACAGAACTCTTCCTGCCAGCTCCCACTAAACAATAACTTGGTAATGGAAGTGCTCTCCTTCCCGTCATGCCTGACTCTTCCACCACACCTGGAGACACAGGGGGATGGAAGAGCAGTGGGGAAGTGGGAAGAATCAGCAAGAGGAACTGCATCACACTAAGGTCCAACCTAGGGAAGCCTCATTGTCCCCGGGGACAGGAAATCCCTCCCCCACCAAGAGACATCCACCTGTCTGGTCTAGTTTTGATCAAAATTTGCATTGCTGAAGTGCTTATAGTGGCAGCTCCCCTTAGCACAGCTCTTCCTATACACTGCTAGCTAATCACACCTCATAGATTCTTGGTTAGTGCAACTGACCACGCCTAGAACATACATAAACTATCTAAAGTGAAGTATTTTAAGGTATATTACTGTGATAGTTCATCTCTAAAAATAGCCTCCAAGGAACCCAGCCTCATTTCCTCGTTCTCTTCTAATCTGAAACTGACTGGGCCTGTAACCTACATTAACCAATAGAATGCAGTAAAAGTCACACCATGTCAGACCCAAGGCTCATTTTTAAAAGCACTGGCAGCTTTTGCTTCCTCTTGGAATGCTTGCTTTTGGGAACCCTAAGCCACTATGTAAGATATCCGGCTACCCTGCTGGAGAGACCTATGAAGAGGATATGTGGTGAGGAGAGAGAGGCCCTGAGACCACAAGACAAAAGAAAAGCCTCTCGCCTCACTCCACCCCTGTGCCCCCACCCTGACAGCCCAGTCCTCCAGAGGACTCCAGCCCCAGAGGCCCTCTAACAGCAATGGCATGAAAGAGACCTGATTCATTACCAATCATGTAAGAAAATACATGTATAGGCGGGTGCGGTTGCTTGTGCCTGTAATCCAAACACTTTGGGAGACCAAAGCAGGTGGATCACAAGGTCAGGAGTTTGAGACCAGCCTGGCCAACATGGTGAAACCCCTTCTCTACTAAAAATATAAAAATTAGCCAGGTATGGTGGCAGGTACCTGTAATCCCAGCTACTTGGGAGACTGAGGCAGGAGAATCACTTGAACCCAGGAGGTAGAGGTTGCAGTGGGCCAAGATCGTGCCATTATACTCTAGCCTGGGCAACAGAGCAAGACTCTGTCTTAAAAAAAAAAAAATTATAAACATATATTCTGAAGGACCTTGAAAACAGTTTCCATTTTCTCCAGGTGCATTGATTTCAAAGTTTGGAACAGACACAAAAATAATGTTAGTACTTAATAGAAAAAAAACTCTGTTACACAATACGGTTTCTTTACTTACAGCAACTCATTTTCTACTTTCATTAAAGAAAACACCGATTTCAGGTCAGGGTTCAACAGTGAAATTCTATAACTCAACTACACAAGAGACACAGTTAATTCATCAGTATACTTTTCTCCATACCAATCCTATGTCCACACAGATCTTTCTTTGAAATGAATTTGGTGCTGATTACTAATGAAGACTGGCCGTCTCTGACTCATCATGAGTTTAAGAAAGTTCAGATAAGATGAATTCCTGGTTCTGGAAGTACATGAAACTGTGATAGTTTTACAATAACTTAGTATTCGAGTAGAAAAGAGATTTGGTAATGGAAAAGGAAAATCAAAATGTTACATGATAAGCAACTCAGTTCACGGAGCTTTAGATTTATGCCCTAAAATCTACGAATAAAGCATTTACCTTTATTGAACCATTAGAAAGGAAAGAGACAGTTGGACTAACATAAAAATGTATTCCAGGTAAAAGTATTGGGCCACTGGTGATTAGGGAAAAAACAGGAGTGTGGTGTGACCACGGAGAAGCAAAAGAAAGTGAGGAAGTATGCGACCAGGAAGTGAATGCTTAGTCTCAGAGATCAGAGGCTTAAAGAAAAGCAAAGATTAAAACCTAAAAATAAAGAAAAGAAGGATCCCAGTGCGTTAAAGGAAAGAGAAGTTCCCCAACACCCTTCTTGCTTATTTTCCCAATATCATATACAGCTGGGCCCACCTTACCATGTCCTCGTTGATACCAACTTTATCAACTTTTCCATAAAAGCCAAACTGGACTTAATACAGTCAATGATGGACTATCTGTATGCCAAGTGTATCCCTTGTATAATGGATTGTGTAATGGCTGAAATTGAGAAACTGGGGCAGAAGTATTGAGTGTCTCTAAGGATCACCAAGGATCCAAGATTTGAACGATTACCATGTACACACAAAGGAACCTATGCAGATGACTGCTTAATGCAGAAGGTAACTCAGCATAAGTGTTACATTGTGGTCACAGTTGACTGGGACCTTAAAAGATGAATCCCTAAGATTCTTGGAGTTCCTATCATCTACATTTCTAACTATAGATACAATACTGTACCAGATGATTACGGAGCCCCTCGATTCTTTTGTTTATTTATTTAATTATGAGACAGAGTCTCACTCTGTGGCTCAGGTTGGAGTACAGTGGTGGAATCTGGGCTTACTGCAACCTCCACCTCCTTGGTTCAAGCAATTCTCCTGCCTCAGCCTCCCAAGTAGCTGGGACTACAGGCATGTGCCACCACATCTGGCTAATCTTTCATATTTTTAGGTAGAGACGGGGTTTCACTGCGTTAGCCAAGCTGGTCTTGATCTCCTGACCTTGTGATCCACCGGCCTCGGCCTCCCAAAGTGCTGGGATTATAGGCATGAGTCACTACTCCTGGCCAGAGCCCCTCAATTCTAATTCTTACAAGACATAGTTCCTCTGCCTTTCTTCAACCAGCTTTCTCTTGTTGACAGTTCATTACACAGACAACAGCATGAATTGTTATTCTGTTGACCTGTTTGCTCTATGATAAGCTGAGGATGCTTAAATGTGCTTTTTTTCCCCCCCAGACAAAGTTTTGCTCTTGTTGCCCAGGCTGGAGTGCAGTGTTGGGTGCTCAGCTCATTGTGGCCTCTGCCTCCCAAGTTCCGGTGGTTCTCTTGCCTCAGCCTCCCAAGTGGCTGGAATTGCAGGCACGTGCCACTGCATCCAGCTAATTTTTATTTTTGTGTTTTTAGTACGGAAAAATATCCCTTGGCCTCCCAAAGTGCTGGGATTGCAGGCATGAGCCACCGTGCCTGGCCTGCTCACTTTTTGATGCTGTTTTGAAATTGGTATTTTGTCTTGTAAAAATTTTAGGCCAGGTGGCTTACACCTGTGGTCTCAGAACTTTGGGAGGCCAAGGTGGATGGATCACCTGAGGCCAGGTTCAAGACCAGCCTAGACAACATGGTGAAACCCTATCTCTACTAAAAATACAAAAAAGATTGGCCAGTGTCGTGTCATGTGCCTGTGGTCCCAGATGCAGGGGAGGCTGAGGCAGAAGAGTCGCTTGAACCTGGAAGGGCAGAGGTTGCTTGAGCTGAGATTGCGCCATTGCATTCCAGCCTGGGTGACAGAGTGAGACTGTCTCAAAAAAAAAAAAAAAAAAAAAATTAATGATGGTTAAAGGATACAAAATATCAGATAGGAAGAATGTTTTAAACTTTTTTTGAGTTCAGTGGTACAATGTGGTACATATACTTAATAATGGAGTATTATATATTTCAAAACTGATGTTCTCATCACAGAAATGTATTGGAAGTACCAGACATGTTAATTAGCTTGATTTAATTATTTCAAATTGTATCCACAATTTATGACATTACTTTGTAACCCATACATTTATACAATTATAAATTGTCAATTTACAATAAAAAAATTTTTGTTGCATCTTTAAAAAAAAATGTATTCTATGGAGCTTTCAAATGACTTCACCTCTAAGACAAGGGATATTTATTTATACCTAGTCTGAATAAAAGCTAATAAGCTTCACCCTGAAGCACAACACAGCTGGAGTTGGATTTCTGGTGAAGACTTTAATCATTCCACTTGGAAATGACATTGTCATGTCACCAGTGATCTTCACTGTACACCTGAAACAGGGATTTTGAAAAGTGCTGGGATTACAGGTTTGAGCCACCATGCCCAGCCTTCGTTAAGGCAGTAGAACCATGCTGCTATTTGTGGATGGTAGTAATATTACAAGCAGCTTAGAATGTAGTTGTTTGGACGAGTCAGAATATATTTAACCAATCACTATTAACGTCTATTTACTTAGCACCCTCTCCCATTATTTGTTGCTATTTTAAGGAAAAAGAAAAAAAAAGGCTAAAAAAAAATCTGCATAGTTAAAAGTCTCTACAGGCAGAGTTCTTTCATCAGATCACAATAAGGGCAGGATTTTAAGAGCATTTTTCATTCCTTTTCTAATGTTCTTGTTTAATCTTTTAGAATTTTATAACATTTGAAGACCACATGTTAAATTGCGCTATGACAATAGTATTAGGTGAAATAATGAGCTATTGAATTTCAACAACTATCCCAGAGAAAAGTGATACACAAGGCTTTAGGGTTGGTTGGTTGGTTTGTAACTACTGACTTCAAAGTTACTAGGGTCAGAGAGGAAAAGAAGGGATTTGCAAGAACGGTGCCTAAACTGTAGAGGTGACATTTCAAAGTCATTTCAACACGACATTTCAAAACACGCCAGGTGCTCTTCAAAATATATACAAAGCAACATAATTATATACCATGACAGACAAACACAGCTAACCTTGAAGAATAACACTCAGATGATTCAGGACAGATGAAACCCCATGGCTTTTCAGCTGGAGCCGTTGCAGCTGAAGCCCCCATCATTCCTATTAAGACTACTACTCCCCAGATGCGGTT